TGACATTTTTGAAAAAAAAAAAACAGAGTCAATAAACCCGTTTTTAAGTTTAAATTTTGGACTTCATATAACAACCTATTGAGACATCTTCGGGCTCTACACCAATCCAGAAGACTTCCCTCCAACAAACATGCAGATAATGATCATGTAGAATACCAGCTCAAGTCTTAAACTCCACTAGGGACAATGCTTATACGCTTGATAACAAGGGGTCGTTTGGTAACGTTTTTATTTTCGCGCGTCTTCAAAAAATTCAAAAACAGAGACAATTTTTATCTGTGTTTTATAGTAAACACCGAAAATAGAAAACGACTCTTCAATCTGGTGTGTATGTAATATACGGCTCTTTGAACTATGGGCTGATACCTACCAAACTTGGCCCAGTTATGGATCCATAGCGATAAAGTAATGGCCCAATTTAGGTTAGCCCTTATCATAACTGCAACTACTCTCCGGTCTTTGTAAATTAGGTTTTTTATTTGGAATCTCAATTTCTTTCAAAAAAATTTCAATTATATATATAAGTAATTATGTATTATTAAATGGCCCACGTCACCTAGAATGGGAAAGTTTTAAAAAATTTGAGAAATATTATATAAACCAGCAAAATAATGTGTGCCTGCATGCACTATACAATATTAAAATCGAACATTGAGCTTACAATATTTATATTAAATAATAATTTAGTTTTTTAATTACTTAATTTAAATTTAAATAAAAAAAGATATGTGTGAATTGATGAGATTGTTTGACATTGAAGAGTGTTTTGGTGTGTTGATTATGTCTATCATTGAAAGTTGAGTAGAGAAATTGATATTTTTAGATGGAAAAAAAATCTGTTGGGATGATTTTTGTACCATTTGATTAAAAATATGAAATTTGGATCAATTTTAACCGTTAAGTTAAAAATTCAATTTAGTAGTTGTATTATTTGATAGATTATTGATATACAAAAATACATGCAAATCACTTTGGTAAAATAATTATGAGGAAAAATATATTTTTGCTTAAATAAAGTTGCTTCAAAATATTTAATAACATCGCTATGAAGTCTCACATTTTATTTAAAATGATTCTACAAATAAACACACAATCTATTTGATTATCTCTTTTAATATCCTTTAATGGAAAAATACGAAAATCAAATATAGAATATTCGATATAACAAAGATATCACGTCACTATTATCACGTGATGTCATAATAATTCAATAAGAAACTTACTAGTGAGCAATGCGAACCCCATCTCTTACATTGGGTGATTATTTTGAAAAAAATGTTTGGTGTAACGGTTATACCATATCATCAAGTTGACATGGTGAAAATGTTCGGGGCGAGCCCAAGAACACTTGAAGTCCTAGACGAAATTTTAGATGAGGCCCTAAATTTTTTTTAGATGCATAATTTATTTATTTTTGTTTTAAAAATTTAAATATGTAATAAGTTCTTTAAGATGTAGAATAAACAATTGTGTAAATGATTATATTAAAATTAAAATTAAGTCAAAAATTATAATTCAAGTAAATAAAATTGAATAAATAGATCAGGGTTATTAAGAAAATTATTGTAATTTTTATATATAAGAGTATGGTACAATCTCTTTTTTTTTTCCTTATTTTTGAATATACATATATTTATGATTTAAATAAAAATATTAGTAATTTTATTGATCCTGAGTTTCACGTAATATACAAAATTTTTTATATTCTTTCTAAAATTTAGTCATATAATTTTGTGAGATAGACGCAAATGAGTCTTAAGCGACCGCCACACTTGCCTAAAGATAGAGCCATAGATAGATAGTTATTTTTTTTTTTTTGGATAGGGATACATAATTATTTAATTATATAAAATTCACTTGTTTATTTATTACCTTACCATTTACTTATTTGCGAGTTAGTTTATGAGTAATGCTACATGTACTTAAAAATAAATTTGATAATTTTAACAATTGAATAGATAGTGGATTTCAATAAATGCTGAGACTCACAATAAAATCAATGATTATCAAATCTAATTTTTAAGTCTATTTTTTAAATACACGTGGCATTACTCGTAGTTTATTATTCGCACGTTAAATATTTTCTCCCAATGGAGAGACCTTGGACCTGAAACGGCATCGTCTCCAAATAAAGGTGTTCAACCTCTCTTCTGCTTGAATAATTTTGGCAGAGACCATGAAAGAAGAAGAAAAACATAACGAAAAAGATTGCTTAGTTCGTTGACCAAAACGCAAGTTTAAAAGGCTTCACAACAACCCTTTTATTCTTCTTGTACCATAAAGACTCACAGGTAATTCTTTGCTTCAACACCCTTCTGTCTCTTCCTTGATTCTCTATCTTTGTTCTTTTTTACAGTAAAGTTTTATATATATATGCAGATTTTCTTTATTTGGGTTTGTCTTACTGTATTCATTCCTTTTTTGTGGGTTCAACAGGTTCATTTCTTTTACCTTATACATTTATGTGTATCTGTTCAAGCCTGTGTATATAAATATATATATTTGGCATTCTTCTGGCTATCTTGTGGTAACTGCATAGACATTTATGGGTTCTTGAAATTTTGCATTATTAGTGATTGAAATGAACCATGACTAGGACAAAGTAATAGTTATTGATATTATAATATGCTTTTGTGTTTTTAAAAAATGTTGATAGTATGGCGTTTTTCCCATCCCATTTCCTGTACGGCTGTACTGCAACCTGGTATTTAAAAACTAATGCCATTGATTTTGATTGAATTGAGTCATGGACAAGGATAAGGTCATCGTTCCAATAAATTTTGGTGATTTGCCTATGAGGTGTTTCGATAGTTCTTGGTTTATATCTTTCATAGGCTCAATCACTTTCAACCATAAACATGAAATCTATTTGCAGCACTAATCAATGCCATTGAGCTGCCCAAATGGTCAAAAGCGATTCCGGGTTTGCTACTTTTTTCTGATCATAATGATCAGATACTGATTTCAGGTCCAACGGACCACCTAATATCTAAGTATCTAAACCAAGTAATGTGCTCTCCAATCTATCTGAAATGTTTGGAGCTAAGAAGTATTTTGCAATGTCATGGTTTGGACATTCCAGACATGGTCCATGACTTTCTTCTACTAATTAATATGGAATTCATGACAGGCTTTTTCAATTCCTTGACATTATAAAGATAAATCCACGTGACTCATTTTGTTAATCCTTTTCTTCCCCCAAATTTGATTTGCATTCACGTTGAGCCATGGGGAACAGCTTCCGCAGATGTTGTTTACCTTAGGTAAGAGGTAAGACTTCACAGTGTTTCCCCATAGTGATATGGTCAGCAGAACCTTGTGTTGCTCAAAACAGTAATTCCATAACACAAGGCAAAATGTGGGGAAAATTGGTTGGATATATGCTAATGTCCTCCCAAAAGAAACTCATAAATGTTTTTTTTCCCTTTTTATCGTTCTCATGTGGTGCCTTTGATCTCAAGCACTTTGATGAATGGGTATCATTCCGGATATGATCCTAAGATAGCGATTCATATATCGTGCACTTTTTTTTATTATTTTTCTAAAAAAAACACATGTTTCTTTCTCATTTTCCCAAAAATCTGGACTCTCCATTTAGTTAAGAATTCAATAGTTGGAAATTTCTAGGAGGTGAAAATTCTGGTTATTTTGGAAATTGGGAAAGTTCAAAATATGCATTTGCTCAAAGGTTCATATGGCATACTTAACCGTGTTTCTTGCATGCCTATTCATGAGATAGGTAAGTCAATAGATTAGAAAGATTGCATAATATTAAGCTTGGGATAATGAGCATTATTGCTATGGAATTTAATCGATATGGTTTTAAAAGTGTTCAGTGGTATGGCAAGGAAAAAGTAAATTTAAGGACTTCCAATCATGTTTGTTTATTTACTAACAAATTCATCAAGTTTTAGAATGGCTACTCCAGCTAGGCAGCTAACTCACTGGGCCAACACCTAAAACTTGCTCTAATCTTCAGTTTGGTGTCACTCTGCAGTTTGTCATGGATGCATGGACAAATTTTTGCTCACACCTACCTCACGACATAAGTCAATGAATAATGGGTGGACACTTAGCTATTAATAAGCAATGAATTTTGTGGCAGCATCTTCACATGGTTTTCTGTAATTACATGTTGTAATTAAATCTGATTTAAATGAAATAGCCATGCAATTTTTAATGACGGGTCGACACCAATTATTTTTTTGCCTTGGGATTGGTGGCCTCAATAGTGTATGGCCACCATTCCCATTGAACCAATCTGGGTGAAGGAGGGTTAATGGTGGCATGTTCCCTACCCATAAACTCCTCCAATCTGGGTGGAAGAAAGTAGTCCCAGGTGACTGTTAAGTTTACCAGCTAGGCTTGATAGTTGTTATGAATATGGCTGCGTATGAGGCTTGTGATTAGAGCAGTTGTGGTAGAAGCAATGATTCTCTGTTGCACTTGAAGTGATATCCACTGGAAACATACATGTTTAAATGTATAATGAGCAGCTGCCTAGCTAATTATAGGGAAACCATTTTTATAAAGGAGCATCCATGCAAGGTCCTCTTATATAAAGCTGAAAAAGAAGTTTAAAAGAGTGATATTTAAATTGGCTGCCCTTCAGCCCATTGACGGGTGTGTGGTGCTAAGGAGATTTTTGAATGGTCAGCTGTAGCGTACCAGGCAACATCGAGTATTATTTCAAATGTACAAGTATTTATGAAGGATCCTTGTGGTGGGGTCAATTGTCATTTATGACTAGAAGGAGAAGCCTGCAAAGTGCAAACGTGCAGGTGTGAGTGGATAAAACTTTATATGGAATTAGTTCGTATAAAAAACCATCAGGATTTTTTAAACTGAAAAGGAGCATTTATATGTTCTGTTTGTTTTGTCATTGGGATATTGTTAAAGGTCACTTTGCCTAAAGGAGCATTTGTGCAGGATTCCTGTAGGTAAGAATAATAATTAGAATGTTGACAACAAAAAAATTGCCCAGTAGTTGCTTCATTATCTCGCAAATGAGAAGCTACTAATAATAGCCCAAGTTTGAATGAGTAGTAGATGTGTACACATCTGTTGTTCTGGAAAAACATGTTAGTTTGTGAATGCTAATCTCGATATCTGGTTTTAGACAGAGATCTCTAATTATGAGACTGGGATAGTTAAAGATAATAATTTTAAATTTCATACTGTGCTGGACAGTCCTCGGTAGATCATTCTTCAAATAGAGTGCTGTATGCCGTGTTTGTTGCTGGGGCTATGCCAACGTAATGGTTTGTTCTTCCATCAGCATATAAGTGCAAAATGTAGTCCGCCTAAGTTGGTTTGTCCAAAGACAGATGAGCAACCATATCTGTTTCATATCTCAGGCACCATCCTCATGTTGTTTCCATATCTCCTTCAGAAATTCTAAATTGAGATATGCTAGCAGTTCTATGCCCAAGACAAGCTCTTGTTCAATTGTTTTGCCCTTTCAAGCATTACAGGGAAGCTGTTTTGGGTCTAACGTATCATATCGGAGGAGCAACTGGCATTCATTAACAGTTAAAAGCATTGCGAGTTCCAAACATACCCAGAGGGGATGCCTTGGTATTTCACTGGTGTCCCAAAATATGAAAGTGAGGCATTTGGTGCCTAGACGACTAATGATTCCCAAAATCAAATTTAATGTGAGACATGTTTCTTGGCCAAAAGGATGTACGTTTGCTTGCTTAATTTTCAGTTCACTGGTTTGTAATTCAAAACCTGAACCAGTACATGCTGAAGTAGCTGAGGTAAATGAAAACAAGGGAGGTGATTGTGATTCCTCATCTACCAGCTTTTCACATGGGAAGAAAGTGTATACCGACTATTCTGTTATTGGTAAGTACTGAATACTTATAGCTTTGTATTTTGCTGTTTATTCTTTTCTCTTTTTGCGTCATTGTGACCTAGGTGTCATGGGTCCGAGTTTCATAAACAAACTCTCCACATTGTAATGTTGTGTACATTTGACCCTGCTCAGAACCCCAGTGGCAGGAGCCTCATGCACTGGGCTGCTCTTTAATTATTATATAATCTAACAGCTAACCTTTTCCGGAGATGATGTATTAATTTGTCTTTTTGATGGGATGCCAAAACTTATGGTTGTAAATATTGACTTTATTTCCACCCGAAGTATTTTGATGAAGATAACTGCTCCATATGTGTAGGCATATCTGGAGATGGAAGATGTTTGTTTCGCTCTGTTACTCATGGAGCTTGTTTGCAATCTGGAAAGCCTGCTCCAAATGAGACCCTTCAAAGGGAACTAGCAGACGAATTACGAGCTAGAGTATGTAGTGTCCCTTCAATATAGACATCATGAATTCGTGATTTATGTTCCTTTATGTTGAATGGATTATGCAGCATAGTTTGCTAGCAAGGCAATGTCATCACTGAACTCTCTTTACTAAGGATGGCTAGATTGCCTTTTTTTAGTGTTGCCACTTCTGGATGTCCCATTTCTCAAAAGTAAAGACATCAATGCCCCGCCCCGCCCCGCCCCTCCCCTAAACCATTCGCATAGAAGAAGTGATGGATTTCAAAATGTGACCTACTACTTTGAAGTAACCTTAACCAAACAAGAAAGTGGTATCCACCTTCATGTATGTCCAAAATAAGTTGTTGGTACAAACACTACATAGGCAAGGTCACCTGATTTTGCATCTGCTAATTTTTTTTAGGTGGCAGATGAATTTGTAAAAAAGCGGAGAGAGACAGAATGGTGAGTTTTCCCAGTCTATCTTGCAAACATTTTTCTCACTTGTTTGTCATGAATCATGTCAGTCTTAGGTAGGAAAATGAGAGTTCTCCTTATGTTAAAAAAGACGCGTGAAACAAAATTGGAAAGATTTATAAGCAATCATGGGTGTTAGTCCCCTGTTATTCTCTAACTTCTTTGGCTGAAAATTACCGATAATGATTTTATATGAGCCTTCTGGATGATGTCATCAGGAAACAAGTGTATTTGTGTTTTGGGGAAGGCATCAGCAACATATTGCTCATGCTACATTAGTTTGATGTTTACAACTTAAAGCAATGAAGATAGTACATTATCGTATTAAGGGAGAAAGGTGGTCTTCTTTTCTCCCATATCATTCTTTGTGGTGATGGACGAGTAAGTGATGGTTTCACATTATGTTCAGGTTCATAGAAGGTGACTTTGACACCTATGTTTCACAAATGAGGAAGCCTCATGTGTGGGGAGGTGAGCCTGAATTGTTAATGGCTTCTCATGTTCTCCAGTGAGTCTCTCTCTCTCTTTCTCTGTGCTCTCAGTCTCTCTCTCTCTTTCTCTGTGCTCTCACATGCGTGTGTGGTCTTTGTGCTTATAGGTATTCCCATGTACTTTTTTTTCATTTCTATACTGATTTATCTTCTAAATGATAACCTCCTTTTTGACTGGATCAAGTCACCAGTCACAACGTGTCTGGTATCATGTTGGGGGATAAAATATTTCCTTCCTTGTTTCTTATCCTGTTGGATATAATATCAGACTCCTCTTTGTAGTAGAAGTGATTAATGTCACTAAGACAGGTGCTTGGTGTTGAGTTCCTCAGACCTCTTTGTAGTACCAATCTCTCTCGGGGGGGGGGGGGGGGGGATTGGTATATGCCTTTGGAGTTTAAAAAATTTGAACATTGAAGACATTAGAGTGGCAAGACTTCATTAATTCTCATGATTGCAGGATGCCAATCACAGTCTACATGAACGATAAGGATTCTGGTGGTCTGATATCCATTGCAGAGTATGGGCAGGAATATGGCAAGGATAGTCCTATCGAAGTCTTGTATCATGGTTTTGGTCATTATGATGCATTGCAGATTCCTGGTAACAAGGGTGCAAGATCAAGACTCTAGAGTTCATATTTGACGTTACTAATTGTGAATGATTATGTCAATACTATTAGGACTTGTTTGTCGACGTATTACGAGGTGATTAATATTGAATTATACTATTTTTTATTTAATCGGGCCTAATACTTTGTTTGGTAAACAACTTTGATACCGCATTAATTTCAAAAACAATACTAATCGTATATTTTTTATACAATAGACCTGTATTATAGAGGTATTTTAATATCACCAAAAGAGGTGGTATTACAATACAACTTAAACGTATTATTTTACACATTTACTATTATAACCCCCTAACTGATAAAATCAAGTTGTCATCAATGTAACAAACACCGATTGAGGGTATTTTTATTAGTTTAACATTAATACGATGAAATAATTTTCAAATCAAACAACTAATTAGATTAAATAACTACTATCCAATGTTTATGTTGTATATTGTTAAACACTAGATAAAATTACGTATTATTTTTTATATATTATTTAATCTTGTCTTTTGTTCTTCCGTATTATATTAGATTGAATTACTTTATTTAATCCATCTATTTCTAATATGGTAATCAAACGAGTTCTTAGGGAATAAAACAATTTATAACTTCTCCGTCATTGTATTTTTTCATTGTTACGATGCCCCTTTTAACGAAAAGGTTTAACTTTTTCTGTATTTACAGTGTTTTTTGGTTCACGACTTTTGCTATTTGATGGAATTAGGCTTTTTTCTTTTTGTTTTTTTTTCCAATAAAATGATGTATTTTTATGCCTCTGTCTTTTTAGTTTGTGTTCAAATAGTAATCAAGATAGGACTTCTTTGGTAGGTGTATTATAAGTGAGTTAAATATTATATTGTACTATTATTCTTTATACATTATTTGGTAGATAAATTTGATTTCATATTAATTCGTATATCTTTAGTACTATATACCTGTATTATAAAAATATTTTAATATCACTAAGAGATGTAATATTATAATCTATCTCAAATGTATTATTATACATATTTATTATTCTAACTCCGTGACTGATAAACTATTAAATTATCATCATGTAACAAATATTACAAATACTGATTAAGGATATTTTTGTTAATTCAACATTAACACCATAAAAATAATGTCATAACCAAACAATCGATTAGGTTAAATAACTATTATCCATTATTTATATTGTGTATTGTCAAACACTAGATAAAATTATATATTATTATAATATTTTATTTAGTCTTGTCTTTTATGTATCTGTATTATATTAGACTGTATTATTTTATCCAATCCTTCTATTTTTAATATGATAACCAAACGAGTTTATAAAGTATTGTGTAATTCAACGGAGGATATGACATTTAGGGGGATTTTTAACTACATTGGTACTCCCCCCGCGGCCCCCATCCTCTCATTTTTTGATTGTCCGGTATGAATTCCCGTAGGACTTGTTATGATTGAATAGATGGTTAGTGATTTATTATTGATGTGTAATGGAGAAAAATTGGGTTGGTATGAATTTGGATATGCCATTTGGAGCAAAATGGCAAAATAAAATTCGCACATTTAACCCGATTTGAATAACTTGGAGAAGGTTTTTTCCGTGTTTAACATACTTTTCCATATGTAATTTTACCTTCAAACAATATTAATATTACAACACAAGTTGGGTAATCAAATGAAATGGGCAAAAATGCTGGATTTGGAAAACGGGATAACAAGACAGTGTCCCTCTCTATCCTTGAAAGTTTGGTTTTTTGTGGTCTTGCTAGGATTTCTTAGAGGCTTTTCTTTTTCTGGTTGTGGCAGACTAATGCGAATGCTCGACCCACTCTATATCTTATTTGATAAGGCTAATCATATGATGAAAATAGCTTTAGTTAAATGGACCACCATTATATTTTTTAATTTTTTTTGATTAACGAGGAATGTATTTGATAGTCACACTCACTCCTGTTGAATAAATCTCGGATATCTGTAATCACCCGAAAACCACAAGAATAAGTTAAACTTGAGAGTCACCAACGATAATCGAACTTAAAATATCTGAGTTTATAGTTCCTCCCAAGTCCATCCTTGTATCATCTGCTACTCTTGTGGGTTGATCACCAATTATTTGAAAGTGCATTTGTTTCCTATCTGGTTTGGGACATATGGTTTGCATCTTTCAAAACGTCTGTCGTTCCTTTTCTTGCGCTATTGCCCAAATTCAAGCCAGCTCCAGTTCCATTGGCATTTGTTTCTCCTTGTGATAGTGTCACACTGTTTGGGTATTTATATAATCTTTTGGATGGAGTTTACTAATTTTAGAATATGTTCACTTCTTGAATTCAGTTGTCACTTTTTAAGTAGTTTTTTTTGGGGTAAAGTTTATTATTTTTAAAATTTTTTTTATACAATATCCAAAAGTACTGAATGAGGAGTTAATAATGACAACTAAAAATATTGGCACGAATATCATACGAAGCATAAATGATACAACTTAAAAATAACACGACTAAAGATAAAATAATATGAAAATGATACAATACAACACCAAATGATAAGGGGGTTTCAATCTTGTCATGTCGTGTTATGTTATTTTCGATATATATCGTGTTTTTATCAACAAAAATTATTTAATTTTGTAACAATTCATATAATACTATTTAAAAAAATAAAAATATATATAAAATAACCATATTCTATTTATAACAGTGTTATTAGAACTGGACCGGACCGGTTCAACTGTGACCTGAGACTTTAATTAGTCTGATTCTCTAATTAGATCGCTTAAGGAATAGAACCGGCTCAAAATCACTAAATTGGCCGGATTTTAGCCAAAACCGTGAATCGGTCAATTTTTTAAAACTGGACGATTTGAGTTCCACTCGTTATATTAAAAAAAAATTCTCTTTTTGGGCCATTTTGCCCTAAATTAATTCCATTTCAACATCATCTTCAGTCCTCTAGGCGATGAAGAACTCTAGGCATGGCGATGCAGCCCTCTATTGGATCTTGATTTTTTTTAGATCGGGACCTTCTCCACTCAATTTTTTTCACTCAATCGATTTAAGTCATCTTTCTCACTCAATCTCTTTCATTTTCCTTGGTTATGGTTATGGTTATGGTTATGGTGGTGGTGTTAATTTATACAATTGATTGTTCAAAGATCTGATCAGAAAAAAAAAAAAAGAAAGAAAGATTATCCAACTTCAAAGTTTGTACCTATCTTTTGTGAACTGTAATCTTTATCTTTGATAAGAATATGATATTTGGAACATGGGTTTTAGTTTTGTCTGCTTAACTTGCAAATTATATGAATTTTAGACATATGTAGTTAAAATATTTTGTTCTCTAATGGTTGTAATTTTTTTGTATATTTTAATTATATAGTCGATTTGACCAATTAACCTAAGAGTTGAATTAATAAACTATTGATCCAATCTCTCTGCAAGTTTGATGACCGATCCAGTTCAGATAATATTAATTTATAGTATCTATTAAATATCTATTTTTTTGTCAACAATACCCTATAATCGTATTATTCGCATTTATCTTTAATCTAACTTATTTTTTTTTAATCATTTTTTAGTTTTATGTTAAATTGAATTCGTGTTGGGTTTGAGATTGGGAATTTGGTATTGCTTTTGCTTTGAACAAGCCTCGTCTTTACCCTTTTGCAGTTCATAAGACAAAACAAAATCTATTGTATTGGAAGCAGTATAAAGAGGCGCGGATGGATACGCAAAGTAACCTTCTTGGGGTTGTCCGTTTTATTTATTTTGAATCTGTAATACTCCAATACATTGACCAATAACACCCTTCTAAGTGGAAACTGCGAAACTGAAAAAGTCAGAATCCACCAGCATGTTGTGTCCTTGTTGAATGATTTTCTGACACCACTTAAATGTAAAGCAGTAATGCACAGATAGACACCACCAAAATACCAATTAAATCCCTCCCTAGTACCTTTATTTTTATTTTTATTTTTTCTGTTAGATACCATCTAATAGTTTGTAACTTTGGATCGATAATCGAGGGAAATTATTTGAATTAAATTTGTTTTAAACTTAATTTCGGCTCGATTTACTAAATAATTTTTTTAAATTTATTTAAATTTTAATAAATTTTAAAAGGTATTGTACAAGTTCATAAAAATTAACTCGTTTATAATTAAATTTAACTTATTTTGGGTTCAATTTAGACTTAATTCGCTTACGAATTCAATTTGAATAATTTTTAAAAAAACGAGCTTGGTAAACTTAACTAAAAATCACAAAACTCAACTTAATTATTAGTTTTATTAATAGCAATGACAAAATAATAAATTATGTGTGAAGTTTGTTTTTGCTAAATAATAATTTTTTTATGGTCAAAATTACTTCAATCAACCAATCAAAAAAGAATAAAGAATACTTTTTTTTGGTGAAATGTTCCATAATTGATAATTAGCAATAAAATATCAATATTATTCATCAAATTAAAAGAGACGCTTATATATTTTAGATTCTCTTAAATGATTTTAATATCATTTTCCAAAAGCCACTTGATATGATTGTAATATTATTTTTTGTGAAAGTCAGTTGATTTTGATTCCCAACAAAAGAAAGTGAAACCTTTTAAGATGTAAATATATAATAAAGTGTTATATTATAATAGCATTTCTTTAAATAAAAATTATTAAAATCCACTACAATGGGATTTTAAATTTTTTGAATTAAATGGCTTCTTTTTTTTTTTTTTTCTGGTATGAATTAAATGGGTTCAATATGAGAGGAATTCTTAATTTATTTTAATAATTCATAATAATTTTATAATGTGGTATTGTAATTCTATATCCTTTTATTTCAACAAAATTCAATAATTTCGTGTAAGAAGTTAACCTTTAAGCCAATCATGACTCCGCTCACCTTAAGATTTTAAATTTGAATATTGTCATTTTTCTCTCTATAAAATGTTAATAAAAATAATTTAATAAAAAATTAACTCTATAATAATAAAATAATCGTTAATTTAACAGTAACTCTATCCACTTTAAAATTATGAGTTTAAATATCGACATCTTCCCGTCTCATAAGAAAATGTTTAGCAGTAAAAAAACTTGAATAATACTTTTTTATATTGGTCATTCTCCCGTCCCAATGTAATCTCTACTGGTAAAATTGTTCAAAGAAACAATAAAATACAAAAAACCAGCACAAAAAATTACAATTTGAAGAGAATGACAATACATTAAACAACCTATAAATCTACATTGGTCAGACAAAATTCAAACTTTATTACCCACGTTACTCCACACAACCTCGAAAACCATTCCATACCCCAGTTCAAACTCAAACTCTGGACATCATCCTCCTCAACCAGTCCACCAAACACCCCCTCCCCCCAATTCTCTCTTTCTCTCTCTCTCTCTCACTTCCTGCAACTCCTCGTTGCGGAAACAATGATCAGAGCCTAAGCCAACCCATTATTGCTTTCTCAATTCAGTGGAAGAAAGGAACTTTTTGTACCATGAACTCAATCGCATTTGGGTTTGTTTGGTTCTTGACACACATCAGTTCTTTCTCTTTTTCTCTCAACCCTGATGGTCTCTCTCTCCTGGCCCTCAAAGCCGCCATAACCACCGATCCAACTCGAGTCCTCGCCACCTGGTCCGAATCAGATTCAACCCATGTCACTGGCCTGGAATCTCATGTGATCGACACCACCGAGTCACCTCCATTTCTCTCTCCAACAAAGGCCTCATTGGCTACATTCCTTCTGAGATCGGTGCTCTTCTTTCTCTCTCCTCTCTTTCCCTCTCCCAAAACAATTTCTCCAAACCTATCCCTGTCCACCTCTTCAATGCCACCTCTCTTCTCTATCTTGACCTCTCTCACAACTCTCTCTGTGGACCCATTCCACAGCAGATCAGCACCCTCAGAGACCTTACTCACCTTGACCTCTCCTCCAACCATCTGAATGGGTCATTACCAGAGAGTCTCAGCAATCTGACCCATCTCGTCGGAACCCTAAATCTCTCCTACAATATATTCTCCGGCGAAGTTCCGGCATCCTACGGACGATTCCCAGTAATGGTGAGTTTGGACCTACAGCACAACAACCTCACCGGAAAAATACCTCTGGTGGGTTCACTGCTAAACCAAGGACCCACTGCATTCTCTGGAAATCCTAATCTTTGTGGGTTTCCATTACAAACGCAATGTCCAGGACCAGAAGCTCAAAACCCTAGGTCGATTTTTACAAACCCCGAAAACCCAAGTTTGCCAAATGGGTTTGTAGAGAGAGGAAATGTGAGAAATGGGTCGGTGACAGTTTCTTTGATTTCCTCTGTTTCGGTGGTCATCGGCATTGTGTTCGTTTCGGTGTGGGTGATTCGGAAAAAGTGGAGATCTACCGAGGGCAAAACGGGAAAGGAAAAGTTAGAGAAGGAAGTGGGCAGTAGTAGTAGTATTGAGGGGCAAAAGGGTAAATTTGTGGTGATGGATGAAGGGTTTGGGTTGGAGTTAGAGGATTTGTTGAGGGCATCGGCGTACGTGGTGGGGAAGAGCAAGGGTGGGATAGTGTATAAGGTGGTGGTGGGTGGCGGGAGGGGATCGGGTGTGGCAGGTGCAGCTGTTGCGGTGAGGCGGCTAAGTGAGACTGAGACTAGGTGGCGTTTCAAGGATTTTGAGTCCGAGGTTGAGGCCATTGGCAGGGTCCACCACCCGAATATCGTGCGGCTGAGAGCTTACTACTATGCTAGTGATGAGAAGTTGCTGATCACTGATTTCATCAGCAATGGGACCTTGTACGCTGCGCTACATGGTAACAATACTTAGCTGATTATTTTTTTTTTTGGGCTACTTGGTTTTTGAATTCTATGTGGTCATTGCTTTGTTTTGAATTGCTATGCCGTTTAGGATTATCTAAATTTGGATCAAAATTTATAATTTTGGCCAAAATCTATCAAATTATGAGAATCTTGTGCTAGGATTCAGTCATATCCTCCGTGCAAAGTCCGAGGAGGGTGACATTGGCCTCATCACCGTCAGAATTTTGGCCCAAATTGAGAGGACACGAAGACTTCGATATTAAGTAGTTTGTCAAATGTCTCTTGGTGGTGGCATTATCAGTGTGCCAGTATTCCTATACTTTGGAAGTCATTTTCAATGCTTATTTATCAACAAGTTAGTTAATTTTCGAGTGTCTTGTATAATTTTGCTATGCATATTAACACCATTCTATTTTGATGAAGCAAACTCGATTATCCCATAAATTATGGAATAATCTGTGTCTTCAATAGGAAATGCTATCTTGTGTATTAATCTAGTCATTTGGACACCTAATGATTTTTCATTGAAGTGAATTTTTTTTTTTGGGGGGCATTTTTTTCGGTAAGGACATCATTCTAAATTAATTGAGGCATGATACTAAAGTTGAAACTTGTAGTTGACATCGTGGGTGTATTTCACTAATTTCAGAGCTTCATGTGCTTATATGTGTTTACATTGTTATAAGATGACTCATCTGAATTGATACGTGTTCATAATACGTTTACTTTACCTTGATTATCGCATAGATTATCATATACTCCCTCCGTTTCTATATATCTGTCGTTTTACACAATTTTTTTTTGTTCTATAATATCTATCGTTTAATAAAACCAAAACATAATTAATATTTTTTCTTTTAAATTTACCCTTAACAGTTCTATACATTAGATTAGGTGAAGGCTAAATGTCTTTCATATTCCTTTCCTTCCCAATACGTATTGAATAAGGGTATTTTAGTCTTATGTAATTATTTTTTACTCATATTACAACTATTTAATAGCTTTCTTAATCTCTGTGTAAAAATTTTAAACGACAGATATTTAGGAACGGATGGAGTAACACTCACGAAATAACAGTAATTTCCTATTTTGACAAGTATGAAGAGTAAACACTAAAATGGCTAAATGCAGATCAATCAGTCTCCATGCCAAATCCAAGCCAATGGACCATTTTTATTAATGCCATAGTTGAGGTGAAGACTGAAGGGTATTCTGATAGATTCGGCAATATATTAGTCCAGAACTGCAAAAATTAAATTTCAGTTCAATTTAACCGTGGCAGTCTATTGCTTCATTTCAAACTTCTTTTTTGCGGTGATGGTAATCAACACCTATGTTTTAAATTTCTAAGGCCACAATTCAAACGAAGTTTGTGCAATTAAAATTATTTGTCTGCATATCTCAGAGACTTTCTTCTGTAGGATTTACCCATTATTATTGTTTCTGGTCCCCTGTTTTTGTTTCTCTTGATTCATTGTTGTGTAGTGAGTTCTGATCTGTTATGTCATTTTCCTCCTGTTTTCTGCACCCTGTAGAATATATCTTGGTTTGCTCTGGACATAACACGAAGGTTATTGAGCTTTCGAAATCTGTCACATTTGGATGTGCCTTAATAAAAGGTAGTCATAGTACTATGGTACGAGGGTAATTAGGATTTGCTGCAATTCAGGTTGAGATGGGACCTAGGTCGCCTTGTCTCGATTTAGGTGAGATTCAAGCCGATTCAGGATAAAAACCAATCTTCAGGTTTGTTTTGGATTTGGCCAATTTTGACATTCATCATGTGAGGTAGGACCCTTGCCTGATTGATATTCAAAACAATCAGTCATGAAGATGACCGATGATAGAATTACCACTGATTTTTGTACCCATGAACTGCCTATTTTGTGGAAAGCACTTATCCAACAGTCAAAATATATGCTCAACTAGTAAAAGCTAAAACATCGATTTGGTATGTAGTGTTTAAACAGCATCTATGAAGTTTAGTTGATTTGATGCTCATGTTTGGTGGTCTTCTGAATTGGTTTAGTTGATTTGATCGCCTGATAATTGGGATTTCAGATTTCTGGTGGAAATATGCTCTGAGGATAATTTAAAGTTATTGTATGAGTATATATTTGGGGCTTCTGGGTGCTGGTGTTTGTGAGCCAGCTGACTGCAACCTGTTTAGCATCTTTTTATTGGCTTCATAATAACTTACTCCTCGTGCATTATACAAAATTACTCATGTTTTGTTCCCCTTCTAGCCTGAGAACATATCTGCATAGATTGTGTTAAGATGTTGTGGTCCTATTGTTTTGCAATTGCTCACCCTTATATACTAATGCAGCTAATTCGGGGAACAATGGGTTGTTGGCTTTCAAATGTCGTCAGACGTTTAGTTTCAATGCAATTCAATGTGTTTATTTTTGCAAAAATTGGATGTTTATGTTTTGAAGCTAATCACTCTAATGATGGCCATTGGCACGCTTTACAACCGCTGATTTTCGGTGAACAACACACTAACCTATCTTTTCATTTTCTTGATGTTCAAATTTTTGCAGGAGGGCCTGACAATTCCTTATCATCATTGTCATGGATATCAAGGTTGAAGATTGCTCAAGGCACTGCAAGAGGTCTAGTACACATTCAAGAATGCAGCCCTCGTAAACATGTTCATGGGAACTTAAGATCATCAAAAGTCCTTCTTGACGATGACTTGCAGCCTTACATCTCTGGTTTCGGTCTCACTCGTCTTGTGTCAGGTGCCTCGAAATCCACTAATTCAGCTTCCAAAAAGCAATCCTCAAACCAAATTGTAGTAAGCCCGAAGAATTCAACTTCTTCATCCATCATGTACGTGGCACCTGAAGCTCGAGTGCAAGGTAACAAGTTCACACAAAAATGCGACGTGTATTCTTTTGGAATCGTTCTGTTGGAGATTTTAACTGGTCGATTACCTGATGGTGGGCCGGATAGCAATGGTAAAGGACTAGAGAGCCTTGTGAGGAAGGTGTTTAGAGAAGAACGACCCTTGTCAGAGATTATAGACCCTGCTCTCCTGCATGAGGTCCATGCCAAGAAACAAGTTGTTGCAGCATTCCATATTGCTCTCAACTGCACAGAACTGGACCCAGAGTTTCGGCCTAGGATGAGAACAGTTTCTGAGAGTCTTGATTGCATCAAACTGCAATGAAGGAAAAAGAAAAAATAGTTATTGCTTGAAAGCTTCTTGTTTTTGCTCGCATCGTTGAAGCTGTTTCTCTCTCCTTGGATGTAGGGGTGTAAAGAACTGTCTTTTGTAAGGAAATGTATTTTCATTGTATCTGTTGAGGATCATATCGCTCGTATGCTTATTATTAGAGTATTTTAATAAAAGAAGCACTTTATGGGGGAAATTTAATTTTACATCGATTAGTTTTTTAAATATTTGGCATTTTCACTCGTGTGCATGGTGGGATTGTCGGAGGAGATATGAGTTGCTACCTTCTACACTCAGCGATCTAGTTCTTGTCTCAATCTGCCCACCTTATTATATCCGATGTTATCAAATATATTTTTCTCATCTGATTGCTTGTTTATCTCATTTACAACTAAGTTTATCTTATACTCCAACAACTCCGTTGATAATCTATATATTCCCATCCCGTTTGACACCCTCTCCCCCCTTCCTCCTCCACTCTAATCCTAACTCTCCCTTCTCTTAGTAGTCGAGCGAGCAACCCCAACCTCGGCAAATGATTCTCCAATCCGATGGCACTTGACTACTAATTAAACATAAAGTTATAATTTTTAAATGAGAAGTTACACATTTGAAAGACAACGTTATAATTTACTAAGAGTATCCATGATCAATCACAATATTTTGTGATTTATTATCAATTACATCAAATAATTATACCGTCACATTTAAAAAGTGTAACTTGAGGGGAAAAAAAAAATTTTGGTATGATAACCATTTTTTTTTCTAGTACTATAAAATTACTCTAGCTATTATTTCTCCCTATCATGAGTTGTATTGGGTCGAACAAAGCATTGAGCCCCAAATGTGGGCTCACGTGTCCGTGTTTCCCCACAGACTTTAATTGGGCATGCATGTGAATGCATTGTCTTGTCTCTTTCTCTTTTATTTTTGTGCATAAAGATTAATTGACTATTATTAGTTGGAGTTATCTATGGTACCTACAAAAAAAAAAATGGTACTACATCGAAATGTATTATATTTATGAATATTTTTATAATTGTTATGATATTTTTTTTTTATCATTTTTGTAATTTATAATAGTAGTAAAAATATCCATAATAACGATAAATTACCCATAAAAATGATAATTTTTTTACACCAAAAAAAAATAGTAAAAATATTTATCATAATAATGATAAAAATACTCACAATAACAATAAACATACTAATTTTTGGAAATTATGATAAATATTTAGTTAAGTCGTTATTAGTTAGGGTTTACTTTTTTTCTTTTATAATGGGGACCACCAGATATGGACAGATAGATAGATACACTGCAATCCGTATATGGTGAGTCGGTCAAAGTAGCAGTATTGTCCTATCTCGATAGGTGAGTCACCCTACTTGTAATGTCCAATTCTTATTGGTTTTATTTGGTGGTAAAAGCGATCAATTTGTCCGGGCTTGAGTTATGGTAAATGTAAATTTTTTGAGAATTTGAGTTTAGAAAACGTTTTTTTTAATTTTATTTTAAGCAAGACGGTTCATTATTTATATCTCTTAGATATCGTCATAAAAAAAAAAAGCATTACTTATAGAAGAGATTTAGAGGTACTAAGGGTGAAACACTTTCGGCAAGTGTTGCTAGGAGTGTAACTTAAGGTTAATTGGTTGGTTGGATTTAAAGGTTAATAAGAAATCAAGTTCAATCCAAACCATTGAACTTAAGTAGATGTTTTTGAACTCGGGCTAAAGTTGGATTACAAAATTTGTGTTGGCATTCCAGTTGAGGTTAGACTAAGTTCTGATTTGATTTTTGAGTTAAAGATTGTCGGATGAATTGGAGTTTAACTCGGGTTAAAACCAAAATTTGATTCTCGTGTGTACAACTTGGTCTTGAATTCAATAATTTGATTTGGGTGATGAACCCAAAATTTGATTCTTGTCGTGTACAACTTGGTCTTGAATTCAATAATTTGATTTGGGTGATGAGAACCCTGAGAGTTCAACTAACACTCTATTTGATAGGAAGAATGAAAAATAAAAAGAATGCATTTTTTGTCATTCAAGGAAGGAAAATAAGAATGATACACTTTCATTTCTTTATATTTGGTTGAATAAATGAAAAATAAAAATAATTTTTTTTTTTTTTGTGGTAGCTAAGATTAAGGGTGATAATCGAGTTGTGTCGTGTTAGATTCGTGTCGAGTCATTACGGGTTTGTGTCTAACATTAGTCAAACCTAATTCAACTCATTTAATTAATTATGTTATGTCAAGTTACAAGTTGACTTATTTATTTTCATGTTGTGTTCGTGTTCGTATTCGTGTTGACACAAATAAATTTTGAATAAAAAATTTAACGCTAATATTCTATTTTCACTTAATTGAATCCATGTTAATATTTTTTTTACAAATTAAAAATTAACTTAAATAAATATAATAATAATAAGTAAAAATATCTTTTTTTGTATAATAATTATGTCATTGCTTAATAAATAGTTACAAATAATTAACATTTTATGTCTATAATATTAGTTAAACGTATTAGTTTCGTTTTAATTTTGTGTTACCATACAAACAAGAAAATAGATAAAATATTTATTTTTAAATAAACGGGTTGATGATATCAATTTTGAGTTTGACTGATTGAACTTAAGATTAGTTTTTATATTTTTTATTCACATGTCAGGTCATTTTTAAGTTTGTATTAAGTTATAATTAAGTTCGTGTCATATATATATACATATATATATACACACACATATACACATATTTATCATTGTATTTTTATATGAAACTAATGTATACGTAATATATGTATATATTAAAAGATATATAGACAAATAAGATACATCTCAACACAAATAATTAACTTTCCTTTCACATTTTAATTTTGGAGAGATTGATTTTGGTGAGTTGAAAGGAAAGTTAATACATCTGCTTTTCCATATTTTCTATTTTTCTTCCTTATCAAATATTATATTTTATTTATTCCTCTAACTTTTTATCGTTCTAATTATTCATCATTTTATTTTTTCATTATATCAAACGTAACATAAATATTGTTCAAATTTAAATAGAGTTAGTCCAAATTACACTCCTAAGCATTGAAATTAAAAAAAAAAAAAAAGGTTTGGTTTTTGGTTTCTTTAGCTTTGTGCAGTAGACATTATAGTGAACATCGGGTCCCACCTTTGCACTTGGTGCCCTCCCTCGTAGTGTTTGGTGTCCATCTCAGAGACAACATTTGAATCTTATTCCTAAAATCTAACAAAGCATTAGACATTATATAATGACATCGTCGGATTATTTTTCTCTGCCTATTGGAGTCTTTCTCTATATTTTCAACAAGATTTAATTATATTTTAGTTTTTTAAATTTAAATTTAATTAATGAATTTTTTATAACTAAAACTTGAATGTAAAATTAGTAATTTTACATTTGATTTAAGTTATAAAATGTTGTGATCAATTATGAAAAAAATAATTTGTAACTGTTAAGTTATACTTTTTAAAAGTAAAATTATAATTAATTGAGGTTAGTCATGATGGAATTGATCCTGAAATGTTATGATCGGATTACGAATAATTATATTTTATCTTTTATAAGATATAACTTAATCTTTAAAAATAAATCAGTATAATACAAAAAAAAATCAATAAGCTATTCTTTCCCCAAATATTAACGGAAATTCTTCAAGATTTTATGCTTATCTCCTTCGAAAATTATGTAGATTCTATCGTCGAATTATTTATTAATGCATAACCGTTTTTAAACAAATTTAAGCAGTTTTGAATTTATTTATCAATTTACGACAATTTTTTGAAAACGGAGTCAACAAATCCTCTTTCAAAGGGGCTTCATTAAATTCTCCATGAAAGCGAATTTGTTTACTCGATTTTCAAAAAAATAAATTTATAAATTTATTTAAAAAAATTATATTGATAAATAATTCCTCTAATATAAAACTAATTCAACTAAAAGTGTGCACCAAAATATACATCAAATCATCTATAACCTTTGGATCAATAATTAAATATATTGATCTAACGATTATAAATGATTTGATAAATATTTTGGTTTCCATAGCATTGCCGATTCTTCTATCGTCATTCCAACCACTTTACACTCTGCTTACTTATTCTATCCAAAGGCAATAATGTAAATTTAATGAAATGTAGTGGTAGAATAGGAACATCACTGTTGAAAAAACGGCTGTTGTTGTCTGATCACATGCGGTGACTGGAGCGGTTACTTTTGACGGCACGCGTCCGGATAATATTTAGATCCTTCCCGAATCTGATGCTCCGTTTCCCTATTCTTCACCGTTGACGTCAATATCACCTTCGCCGACAGCTCCCTCCGAACTTATCCACTACTGGCAGTTACTTCTTCAGTAATACAACTCGCAGCTGTGTTGGCTGCGGTCCGGCGTCATTGAATTTTAGCGAATTTATATTAAAAATACACTTAATTTGTATATAATTTATTTATTAATTAAATATAAATTATTTATTAAATAGATTACGTTTTTGTTAATTTTAAATAATTTTTTAATAAAAGTCTTAATTTTACAACAAATTGAACTCTCTATTAAACTAATAATAGGGTGATAAATGAGTAATTGGGGGTAATAAATGGGTGATTGTAAATGGATAATTGCATATTATATCAATTTATTGAATGAATAATCGGTTGATAAACGAGATTAAAATACTCTACTTGAATCTAATTTGTTTATTGTACGGGTTAGACAGATCCTTTCGTTTTTCACTCGAACTCATTAAAATCTAACCCGCTAATTTCATATTAATTCTTATTATATTACATTCAAATCATATCATTTTCAATTCATATTGAATGTTGGATTGATTTTACTTCAATTTCTTTAATATATTGTATCAATTGTCTTGATAATAATTCATCATGTTTAGTACTCTTGTCATATTTATTGTCATTTATAATCTTAACTCAACTTAATAAAATTTTTTATTATAATTATTCGGAATCGACCAACTAAATTTTAAATCACATAATTCATCTTAAACTCTCAACGCTCGAGTACTTTTTGTGCAAATTCAAACTTTGAGGACAATTTTATCATGATTTTTGCTCTCATTTTCTCAATTTTGTGAATTCACTCGTGCGCAATTTTACTTGATAAGTGCTTACCTATTGTTGTTGAAAATTTTATTTAGCAAGTGTAGATCTATACTCAAAGATATGTATTAAACTAATTTGATATTTATAATATATAATTATCATATTTGTGACCTTATAATCAACACATTTTAAAATAAATAACTTATTTTTTATTGAGCATGAAATTTGAGTTTTTATGTTTAATTTTCATTAATTTATATGAATAAATTATGTGTTTTTATGCATCTAATATGACGCTTTCAATGCACTCATATTCTAAGATTTTTTGTAAATTTTTTCAATTTATGTGCTTCCAATCTCTCTCTTGCTCCTACCCTTGCTTTCACTTTTGATATTTATGATAAATCATGTGTTCTTTAATATTCTCCATGAAGGGATTTACCTGTAGTCTAATTATAATAACTCTACCACCAGATAAACCTCTTGTTAAAAATAGGTCAAAAATTTGAATATCGTACTAAGCGAAGTTTTTTGGAGCCACAGACCATACATTTTATCTTTTTGTGTGAAAAGACACATTTACATAAAAAATAGTCTGACATTAGTTTGATATGTGAGTAAGATAGTACTGCACCAGGGCGGCCCTAGATATTTTGAGGCCTAAAGCAGAAACAATAATGAGGTTTTTTTTAATATTAATAATTAATTTATTTAAAATTTATTTTTTATTTTTAAAAATAAAAAAAATTAATTAAATTTATTATATTCAAGGTTTTGTAACCATAGTTAAACTTGATGGAAAGAGAGAGATAGAGGAGCAAAATTAATTGAAAACTTATGATGGTAAGGTTGAATTTGACATTTTATGAGGAGTTAATAATTGATTTTTAGTAGCTTTAGTTTTACTATTAATTTATTTTTTTGTTTTTAAAAAATTAAATTTTAGAGTTTTTTAATTTCACGGGTTGAATTAATAAGTCCAATTTATTTACGTTAAAATATTTTATTTGGAATTAAATCAAAGTTTTTTATGGGACCTGTTTCTTATAAATTTAATTTTTTTTTGAGCTATTATTACACATAAAATTTATGAGGCCTAAAGTCTGAGGTTGATTGGCCTAATGATTAGGCCAACCCTGTAATGCTGGTGCAGAGAGGCGACTTTACACAATAAAAGTTATAGGTGAGTAGAATTGGGTGGAGAGGTACGAAGAATATTTAAGATTAGTCTAATACGTGAATGGGATAATACTGTTCTTGTGAAGAGGCGATTTTGCACAAAGAAGAGCTACCATTAATTTGATATGTGAACGAGATAATTAGTATTGCTGTAATTTACTCATACACTTCCGTTAGGACTTTAACGTTGACCCAACTCCTTCCCGTCAATTAAACAATTTTGTAAAAATAAAATACATAAAAGATAAAATATTTGCTTCCTTCTTCTCTCTCTGTCTCTCACTGCCATGTACACCTTTAGCAATCACCACCATCTCTCACGTTCTTTCTTTCCTTTCGCTCTCTAAATCTCAATCTATTCCATTTTAACCTTTCGGTGCTCTGAAGGGTAAGGCCAAAGGTTTACCGGTATATATCATTTTCTCTTTATCTTCGAAACCTGAGGTCACACTGTTCCCCAACCCCTCTCTCTCTCTCTCTGCCCATCAAGGTCCTCAAAATTCCAGTGAATTACAGAATAGGCCACTCTCTGTCCCCATTCTCTCTTTCTAATCTTTCTTTCATGGGAAACAGACCCAAAATAAGCTCAGATCTAAGGTTCTGTTATACAAGGAGTTGGGGAAAATCATTTGGTTGCTTGTGGTTGAAGATTTCATTTCCAACTGCTTAAATAACACGCAGTTCCTCATAAAAAAGATCGTTGAATTTTCTGGGATAAAGTCAAGGAATTTATTGTGCTACCCGAGAATTATTCACCGATTCAAGTGCTATATTTTCTGCAACTTTCTAAGCTAAGAGAGAATTAAGTGGTGAGAGAAAAGAACCATTGATGGACTCTGAGAATATGAGCTTTAATGACTACAGACAATACCAGAACAACCAGAGCAATTCTGGGTTGTTGAGGTTTCGCTCAGCTCCGAGCTCTTTGCTTGAAAGTTTCACAGATGGGATTGTTAAGAGCGGTAAATCCAGTCAAGAAGCTCAGGGGTTGACTTCAAGATTTAGTTCCTCTACTGGAAATGGCAATTTGGGTTCACAGAGTTTTCAGGATTTCGAAGATGATAAGTCTTTGGTTAATGGGTATTCCTTGAGTTCACAATTGCCACCTCAGTGTCCAAGACAAGTTACATCAACCCAAGTGAATGGTATGGAGGGTGCTTATAGGGTTGTGAGTTCTATGGGTATGGATAATCAGGGGCAAGGGAAAATGGGTTCCAATCTTGTGAGGAAAAATAGTTCTCCAGCTGGGTTCTTCTCTCAGCTCACTGCTCAAAATGGTATTGTTTTGGCACATTGATCAGTTCACCCCTTTTATCTTTGTGGAACTGCTTTGATTCAGTTCTTTTGGACTGCTTGATTAAATTGATGCCATCTGGAAAGTTGATAGGATATTGCAACTAATGTCTGAGGAAACTATGCATAGCAAAAGAGATATATTTGCTATATGAAGTTAACTTTTATCCAGTGTGTAGATTTTTCGGCTAGAGGATTGACATAAGAAGTTCATGTTATGAAGAGACTTTTTATTTTGCCAATCCTTTTGGGCCTAACAACTAGATTTATTAATTTTGTGATTGTTTTTTGTCATAATTTTTCTAGCTTTAGGTATGGTTTTGATTTCTATGATATTTGATAGATGAATTTTCTATTGCTTAGGTATTAGTGTAGAAGCATGATTGAGTTCAGCCTGAGAATTTCACATTGCTAAGTGATGTAGATGCTAGAGTATGAGTCTATGATATTTATATCATCTGGTGGATTTTTTTTTGATAATTGAGTGCTGTGCAAATGTTGGAAAATAAAGGTAATAAGCTTTCAAATTCTACGTTGTTTCGTAGCCTTTCGAATTCTACTTTGTTTTATAACGTTTCTCAACTCTGCTTAGATGACCTTATAACCTAATTTGGGGGCTTTTTCGAGCAATATAAGACTCAACAATTAATGTTGTTATATTCTATTTTCCCACTTTATGAGCCTCCTTTGGAGTGTTAGCAATGGAACCGTGCAAACACAATCACATATCGAATACAGCTTTTATGATTAGTAGCAAGGAGTTGTTTTTCATTTTTATTTATTTTATGATCAGTCACTAGAATGTGTTACTGAAAGTTTCTCAGCAATTTGCAGGCTATGCCACAATAAGAGGGGTTGGAGATTACAGAGTGGGGAATGGTGCTAATTGTGATTTAAGTCCATCATCAAGCGGATTGAAAGGTCAGATGAATTTCTCATTTGGGGTACCTTCTTCGTTGGGAATGTTGACTCGGATATCTGAAAACGAGAGTCAAAACATTGGGGTGAGTTGTCCTGATGATGGAAGGCTTGGAAATGGCAATGGAGACACTCAATTTTCCGGCTTTGGATACCCGTTTGGTTCTTGGAATGATTCTGCACATTTCGCAGAGAATTTCACCAGCCCAAAGAGGGACCTAGATAATGATGAGAAACTATTTGCTGGGGCTCAGGTATCATTTTTGGGCATCAAATGTATTCTGTGTCCATGTTAAATTGTTGATTTGATTTGATTAGAGTTGTTGGTTTTTCATCAGAACGGGGAGCTAGGAAAGCGCATGACTATTTTGTCACACCACTTAAGTTTACCAAAGACTTCAGCCGAAATTGCTGCCATGGAGAAGTTACTGCACTCCCCAGATTCTGTTCCCTGTAAAATCCGAGCAAAGCGAGGTTGTGCTACTCATCCCCGAAGCATTGCAGAGAGGGTAACTTTGTCTATATCTTGAACTGTCGTATTGATCTTCTTTACATTATGACCTGTTACTTAGACTATCTGCATCATTTCTATGATCATCACAGTAAGTTGATTGATTCTGATGTTGGTGGTTTGATTCATGGTCAAAACGCTATACTCTTATCACATGATATTTGCATTTTTAGTTGGTGGAACAGCTCACAAGGTAAGTAGTACCATTGGACCAAAGACCCATTGGTGGAACAGATGCTGTTAAATTACTATATGATTTCACTGATGTAATGCTATAATTTCAGGTAAGAAGAACGCGGATCAGTGAAAGAATGAGGAAACTACAAGAGCTTGTTCCAAACATGGACAAGGTAGTAGTTTTTCCACGCGTATTTGTGTCTGTTATTTGTGGATAATACTCAAAGTTAATCCTATTTCTTCTTGGCAGCAAACGAACACTGCAGACATGTTAGATTTGGCTGTCGATTATATTAAAGAACTTCAAAAACAGTATCAGGTGCTAAGCTTGAACCAAGTTTAGAAAAACCAAATATACATCCTAACAATTCTACTTAACATGTTTATGTCCCTTGCAGACTCTTAGCAAAAATCGGGCAAACTGCAAATGTTTCAGTACACAGAAGTCAGTCCCGAATCAAACGGTTTGATTTGCTCCTGTAGAAAAGATAAGGGAAAGATGGAAAGGTGATAGCAATAGGGCTTTTTCTTTTTCTCCCCTGGAGAGAAAGGAGAGAGAGAATAGATTTTTTTTTCTTTTTCTTGTAAGTGGGTGTCAAGGAGAAGGGCTACTAACAATTCTAGCAGTAGATTTGGATAATAGAAGGCCTAAGCTGACAAGGTTCCTAGCTACATGATTAGGGATGGTATGATAGATAAATTTTGTACAGGACATGATGCAATAATATATTCCTTGTTACCCAAAACTTATATTATTTGTTGGATAAGTTTTATATCTTTTGTGAATGAAATATGTAGGGGGCAAAAAATGAATTTACCTCCCACAAAGATTGTTAAGTTCGGGTTTTATACTATGCCTTCTTTTTCCTGCAAAACGAATAAACTGTCAAGGAATGAAGTGTTTTGATCGAAAACACTTTGATACTTAAATCAGTATTCGAATGTAGAGAGTATGTTTGCAAGGAGAATTGAGCATACATTTTGTTGCGTGCACTTGACTCCTTTTATAATGTTTTCCTTTGTTAGGGATTCTCTGATTGATGATGTAAGCTGACACACCTCTTATCAATATGAGATATTTGTTAGAGATTTGTTGAAATCTCTCTAGACGCTTCTCCCAGTTGACTGGCTCTCCCGAGCCGTTGATTACGCTCATTTGTTATACCAAAATGCTTAAATTACATGCATCTCCTTAGTTCAGTGTTGCTTACATGTGGAGCTTGGCTTGTTAAAATCGAGCTCTTACTCTCCTTACTCTTAGATGGTTCGATCCTTCTTCGTGACGTGAGAGTTCATAACTTGTGCTTCCTCACATGATTTATCACACCATCCTCGTGTAAGCATATTAAATGATCCTCACACGTGTCGTAACTTCAATATTCCTTCAAAATACAACTGAGAATTCTGATATATAACGCTGGTTCAGTGCCTCCTGCAATGTGAGTTGGGGAGCAATAGATGTGAACATTCGAAAAAGACTATTTTTGCGATTTAAAACACTGGCGTTTAAGTTATGTGGAACAACTTTCTCGTTGCGGGTTCGTATTTGACAAATAATTCAAATTTGGAATTCATATTTCTCCTGGTGAAGTATTATAACATGAATGGTGAGAGATCACATATATAAGTTATGGCAATAATAATAGCAAATACAAGAGATATTTCAAATGGTAACAGAGATAATTTAAATTTGATAATTTTTTGGGTTAAGTCATGAGGAATTTATTCATCGTAAATACTCTAATTTCGGTATGAATGATCTATTTTTGATCAGGTTGAAAAAAAAATTATTTAAATATATATAAATTGATCCAAAAACTCTAATCTTTCAACTAATAAAAAAGGCAATAATAATGGCAGGGGAAGAAAGCCTAGTATGTTCCGTCTAGATTTTTTTTCTATTTTCATGCCAATCATGCCATTTGTGGAGAAATGAGTGGCAGGTGCAGTACAACAATACCTCCCACGGCATTTAAACCTGCAACTGCTTTATGATCTCTGTGTCCCTTTTACCTATTAATTGACCCATGTGCAGTACCATTCATTTAAGTCCAAAAAAAATTGTAAATGAACACTAGTTTTTTTAAGTCTTTTTCATTCACAATATTATCCAAGAAAGTCGTACTATATGAGCCAAGCCAAATGATTTGGGTAAATCTTGTAGTTTATTTTTAAAAAAAAGTCGGCTTAAAATTTGAGTTTAAGACTTAAATATAATTAAAATTAGTTCTTCTCCCTACATATACGTTTTTTGAGGCTTGGACTCTCCCAATCTCCTCCTTAGTGGGTGAGTGACGGGCAATCAAATCTCAAATTTCTTTAGTTGAGCAAAGTTTTTTATTATTTTGGTAAAAATTGCCAGGAGTATTTTTCAAAAGAAAGCTTGTATTCCATTTGCGACACCATTTTCTCTCTCTCTCTCTCTCTAATGCAATACAATATTATTACGAAACTCCTTTGTTTTATGTAAGCATTCTCTCTCCCGGTGTCATGTACAAGAACAAGAAGAACAATTCTGCCTTTCTCTATGCTGGTCTTGGACTTCTTTATTCAAATTAGAGCCTGATTTATGTGCCAAGCCAATAGACATTGGTCTAGTTATAACCAAAATATTTCTTTTGTTAACGAGAAATCTCTTTAAAGCAGGATCACATATTCACATTGAATCTATCACTTCGAGAGTAAATTCTCGATATCGGAAATTATTTACAAATCATAAGTATCAGTTAAATTCGAGAGACACTAACAACTAGCGAGGGTCGAACCTGTTATTACCACACTTTTGCATATTTCCGAGTAATTGGTCTAGCTTGTTCCCGCTTGATATGCAACATCAGCCCATTGAGAACGAGGATTAAAATTTAATTTTGAATTATTATTTCGGTCACATTAAAAATATAAAATGTTTTGGATATATTTTGAAAACGTTGCCAAAATAGAATGAAAAAGAATAAAAATTTTGGGAATTTATTTTCAAATCATTGATCAAAATATACCGAAATATCTTGAAACACGTTTAAATATTACAAAATATTAGTTAAAAAATGCCAAAACATCTCAAAACATTCTGAAATGATCAAAGCATTAGAATTTTGACTTAATCACTAATTCATTTCCATCTCATTGAAAACAAAAATATTTCAGCCATTTTAAAATAAAATTTTGTTCATTTATAATACTGGTTAAATGTGTTAATTATATCAATTTCGTATTATTTGTGTCATTTACGGATTCATGTCAAAAAATTATCAATTCAAACCCGTTAATTTCACGTCAATTTCAGTTCGTTAAAAATTGTCACCTCTACTAAAATGTGATCTATAAAGAGCTCAGATCCTTCACCCAAATTGTGAGCGTAAAAGCAACGGTAGCAGCTTATAAGTTCACACCATAATCTTTGTGTGTTGTAAAACACACTAAAAAAAAAACCCTATCATTTTCTGAAAAACCGTTAATGGGGCCCACCCTGGCCGTTGGTCTTTCCTTACTTTTCTCTCTCCTCCAACTCTCTTCCTCTATGCAACACAAAACAATTCCAACACCACCATGTCCCTGCTCTCCCTTTGATCTTCTTTCACAGACCTCAATTATCAATCTAACCCATCTCTGATTCTCTTGTTTTCACATGAACTGAAATCAGAGATCTTAAGCAAATATTGATTAAGTTATTTGATCTGCTTAAGAATTTTACATTTGGGTTACATTCAATTACTCCAAATGATCTGTTGAACATAAATTCGACCCTTTTTTTTTTTGGGTTCATACAACCCGAAATTGTGCCTTTAGATCTGCTGTTGAGGAAAGAAATTGTTTGGGAAATTGATTGGAGTTTCTGAGAAATGTCGAATTTGTATGGAGATTTTAATCAGAAGATTGATTATGTATTTAAGGTGGTGTTAATTGGGGACTCCGCGGTTGGAAAATCTCAGCTCTTGGCGAGGTTTGCGAGGAATGAATTCAGTTTGGAGTCAAAGGCTACTATTGGGGTTGAATTTCAGACAAAAACACTTGCTATTGATCAGAAGACGGTGAAGGCACAGATTTGGGACACTGCTGGCCAAGAAAGGTGTGCCATTGCTGCTTTGTTCGATTTTTTTTGTTTTTTCTTTCAGTTTTTAAGTGCTTTATGTGCAAAGTGTTGCATAATCTTTGAGTTTGGTATAATTCTGTTATTATGTGGAAATAGCTTAATTTATGAGTTTAATAACCTATCAAAATGATTATCAAATGTAATGGGATTGGGCGAATTTCTTCTGATAACGTTTTGTTATAGCTTTTCCATTGCAGCATTCATCTCTTCTGGAAGTTGATCACTTCTGAAGGTTGATGACACTATTACTTTCATTGTAGAAGTGATAGAACTGGACACAGGGTGTTGTTACATTAGCTAACAGTTGTCTTTTGACATAATAAGGTTTTCCGAATGATTTATTCTACTAGCCATGAAAGGCTTGCCTTCCTTTTGGTGGAACAAGAGCTGAGATTAACAAATCATCACATCAGATGTGGATTTATAGTCTAAAAACTGGGATTGTCAAGTAACACAGGGAAGGGGGCAGGGGGAGGGATGTGAAGGAGACGAGGATGTTATAAAGGAGATAGATAATGCTTTGAAGAATATGCGACCTTAAGCATCCTTTTAGTTAACCTAGTTAATTTGTTTGTAGATTAGCTATTTGGTTTGCTTTGTACAGTTGGTAGCAAGCAGGAAAAATAAAAGGAATTGAAAAAAGGCGTTGCACAAGCATTGAAGGCATCGCTACAAAGCCTGATAGAGTAATTCCTCTAAACTCTCCAGGAGTTCTCCACGGTTAGAAAGGATAGCCCTGAAAACATCTGGAATAGTTTTTAACTAACAATCCAATCTTTTGAGAATATCTTTGTGCACCATAGAATTCTGAGGCTGATCTTTGATTACTCTCTCCAATTCATGCATGGTTTCTTCATGGTGCCATAGAAATATAGATTAGACATTGTTGCATTGACACCTCTGGTTATGCTCCAAGCTAAGTTACTTGTAGATTAACAGTTGCTCAAAATGGCATTGACAATTTATTGCCCTTGCATTGACTGAGGCATGTCCAGTGCACACTATGATCAAATCTTGTCACGTCCCACCCTTCCCCCCCAAAAAGAAACCCTTAAAGGGAAAAGGACGGGGCATGACAAAATGGTAACAAACCAGTGACTCTCGTGGTGTTTCAGACCAAGAAGGCTATGTAGCCCTGGACCCTGATGCAATATTTTCTCCTTGGCAGCCTTACCCTTCCCATTAAGGGTTGGTTTTTCGGAAAAAGGATGGGGCGTGACAGAGCTCCCATTGTTGGCTTCTTGATTTTCCTGTTAGAACAAAGCCATTCTTTAGGAGGCTCTGATTCACAGTTGTCCAACTTATCCAGTGGAACCAATTTCTGGTTATGCACTTTATTGTGGAAGCTTGGTTTTACTTTATTATTGCCTCAATGCTTTGGGCCTTTGATAGGCTAGCTTCTAGATAGATTTCCATGCTAAATGGATGTTTTCTTGCTAACATCAGGACCAGATGGGAAGAGTGGACAAGCTTGTTTACTTGCAATCTGTCCGCGTAATAACTAAACTTTCTTTTCAAGGATCCACTCTTATTTGTGATTTGTTAGAAGGCCTTGGCAAGTCCTTGTAATGAGCCCAGAAGGGATATAGAACTGTCAACAATCTGATTGCGCGCACTTTCTTTCCTCAAAGTCTAAATCTTTCATGAAGGCGTCTTTGTTATCTTGTACCTCGAAAGACCACATGCTTGTAAGATTTGATAGTGAGCCAGGAGGCCTTGAAGATATTCATTTAGTTTAAATTGATATCTGCATGAGTTGAGACCATGAGATAGACCATTAGGAACATATATGGTTACATCAGGTTTTTCTAAACTTAATAGATTGATCCTCGTACTCATTACATCTTTATTCAGTTCTAAACTTACATACAAGCAGACTTGCGGTAGAGTATCAGGGAATCAACAAAGGGAGATTTCATCTGTCTATCAGTAAATTTGCTGTTTTCTTAGAGAAATTGAACTTGTTCAAATAGACAATTATCTCATGGGCAAGCTTGATTTTGTGTTTACGAGCAAGATTTACAGGCGACGAATTCATTTTAATTTTATTACATAGTTTTCCATTTAAGTTATATGCTATTTCTCTTCTCAGGTACCGAGCAGTCACGAGTGCATACTACCGAGGAGCAGTTGGTGCAATGCTGGTTTACGACATGACAAAGCGCCAGTCATTTGATCACATGGCTAGGTGGCTTGAGGAACTAAGGGGGCATGCTGATAAGAACATTGTGATCATGCTGATTGGCAACAAGTGTGACATGGGGAGTCTTAGAGCAGTACCAACTGAAGATGCCAAAGAGTTTGCTGAAATAGAGAACCTTTGCTTTATGGAGACATCAGCACTCGAGGCCACAAACGTTGAAAGTGCATTTATGACAGTTCTTACTGAAATATACCGAATCATAAGCAAGAAGTCGCTTGCTGCTGCCAATGGTGGGGTGGACTATGGTAAGACAGCATCTCTCAAAGGGACTAAGATTGTCGTTCCAGGCCAGGAATCGGATTCTGGTGGGAGAAAGTCTGGATGCTGCCTGTCATCATGATCAGTCACTTTCAAACTTACGTCATGCTCTTTTATTCTCTCCTCTTTTGATCCTTTGATTATGTAATTGGTTGTTTTGGCTACATTTTTGTGCCGACAAAAAAACTGATTTTGTAGAATACAGGATTGACAGTAATATAGAATGAAATATGGCATCAGTGAAGGTGTGTTGTTTCATATGTATGCTACTCATTGATGTGCTTACCTAATATGAAGTGAATATGACCAAGCCAACCAGCCTGGTTTTGGGGAATATCTTCATTGTCATACCTTGTGTTAATAGTGAAAATCTAACATAAGGCTTGTTCAAGTGGAAAGGGGGACGGGCTTAAAACCCAAATATCATAAGTTTGAATATTGGTAATTCCTTGGATCAGGTCATGAGGAATTTTATCCCTTATAACTATCCTAGTTCCGACATGGATGACTTACGTTTGACTAGACCGGAGAGGAAATTAGTTGAGGTGTGCATAAACTTGCCCGAACACCCCGAACCGTTAAATCAAAAATAAATATTGAAAACCTTCCAAATCACTTTCCTGATGAAGATTGAAACAGTTGAATTATCATGAACTCTTTCATTTTTTTATTTTAGAAGTAATACTATTTGGATCTAAAAATCTAACTTAATGTTTAATTGGGCCTAAAGTCAATCCAAATACCATGACTCCGTTTAGTTAGAAAAAAATTGATGATCGAAAGTGAAAATAGTAAAAAATAAAGTGAAAAAAAGGAAATAGAAAAGAAAATTTATTTTTTTATATGCGTTTGATTAGAATGAAAAGTTTGTTAGAAAAATATAAAAAATTTGATGTAAGTACTAAATTATCCTTATCATATCAACCTATCACAAACACAAGATTTAGTAATTATAATCTGGCCCAACAGATAAAAATCTAATAATTTAAATCTCCACCCAATGATAAACCCAGTAGCTATTATTAACATTGCATGTACACATGATATTTTTAAACACACTCTAGAATTCAATACAAATTTAACTAACTGCGATATGAGTTCACCAAACACAATTTTTATTGATACGAATCTATTCAATATGTTTTAAATACATTTTGGTCAAGTGCAAGTTGGACAAATTTTAACACAATACTACTTAAACGTTACATGTTAAGTGGACAAAATACAAAATAAGTTAAGTTTCCGTGAAAAAAAAATTTCCCGCATAATTTGCATGAAATGAAAGTGGTTAATTGCAAGAAAATTTAGTTGTTGCGGGATAAAAAAACTTTCTCGAGAAATCATATTTTCTAACTAACTAAACAAATGTAAAGTTGTTTTTTTTTTCTTTTCCTGCACTTTCCCGCACTTACTCACTAAACAAACAGTGCTCATATGAATTAGGTCCTAATAGCATTGATTTTTATTTTAACATTCTCCAAGTCAAACTACATACGAGTAGGGTATTAAAATATGACACGACACGATAAAACAACACGAACCTATTTTATAAATGAGTAGACCTTATATTACACAATTAATAAATGAATTAGATACAAGTGATGTCATTAAAAAAAATACATGACATGACTCGTTTCAATAAATTATGTTCAAATAATATTGCTCTATTTTGTTCTCACTTTCTAATTTTTGTTTGGGATAATTACATCTAGACCCCTGAGGTTTGTCACTCAATCACTTAGGTAATGTTTGGTAACCATGTGTTTGCGTTTTTTTTTTTTTGGTTTTTGGTTTCACTTTTTGCTAAAAAAAAATAATAATAACATGTTTGGAGAATGTTTTTATTTATTTTTGGGTTGGGCTGTTTTGTAAACAACCCCAAATTTTAAAAACATTAAAATAGGTGTTTTTAAAAACACAGGAAAACGAAAACACGCGTCTCTCTTGATACCATTTAATGAGGTCTAGCCTTCGAACTCTATTAGCGGCAAAAAAAGAGTTTTTTTCATTCCCACTATAAAAGCGTTGTTTACTCATTTTTGCCTCTTCTCTCTTTCTCCTCTTTATCTCTCAGACTCTTGTTCATCTCCATAAACAAAGGAGCTTTTAGATCTCAAGTCAAGCTAGCACTCAGATCAGATCTCCTGCAACAAAAGGAGCTCTCAGATCTCCAGTGACAAAAGAGCAACGAAGGAGCATCCATATCAGAAGCCAGGACTCCATCTTTATCTCCATCAATACATAATATATACGTAGATTTATAAGTTTGTGTTGTGGTAGTTGAGGTGGGTTGTGGGTTTTGATGGTGGGGGTTGGATTGGGGGTGAGTTTAGGTGGTTGTGGTTTCGGTGGTGGTTTGGGTGGGCTTCGGTGGTTGGATTGGGGTTTGGGTTTTGATGGTTGTGGTGGTGGATTTCGGTGGTTGTGGTGATGATTTTCGGTAGTGGGGTTGGGTAGTGTTTTTGGGTGGTCAGTGGGGTGGGTTGTGGGTTTCGGTGGTGAGGGTGGGGGTGGGGTGGGGTTGGGTAGTCAGTGCCCTTTATTGGTGGGGTTTGGGTGGTGGATATTTAGTATAATACCAAGCAGGTTTTTAATTTTTATTTTCACAATTTTTTAAATATAAATTACTACTAAACATGTTCTATATTTTTAATTTTTATCACAAAAAAAAACAAAATTTTGTTATGTTTTTCTTATAAAAAAAAAACATAAAAACGAAAACGTTACCAAACGCACCTTAAACTCCTTAACATTTGAAATATTACACATAGATTTCTTGAGACTTGTACATGCATACCACTTAGGCCCCTGCCGTTAATGTTCGTTAGTATATATGTTAGTAAATTACACTCGGACCCTTGAAGTTTATAAGCGTGTAATAATTAAATTTCTCAAGTTTTAAATGTAATACTTAAACTAAAAATACTCCAATCAAAAATAAAATATCAATATTTTAAATTTTACAACCAAAATTCATTTCTATTATGACATTTATTGAAATAAAATCAAAATAAAAATCTAATTTTTTCTTAAAAAAATATAATTAGTATATAATTATACTATTTATTAAAATTTAATTTGGTCATTTAAATGATAAAATTAAACTACCAAATTGCCTCAATTAAAGTTAGAAGATATTGTATCCATTACAGTTTGACTTCTTGTTTAATTTTTTAATTTTATTCAAATAAATAGTATAATTGTATGTTAATTATGATTTTTTAAGAAAAATAAATTAAAATTTATTTTTGATTTTATTTCAATAAATGATATAATAGAACATGAATTTTAGTTATAAAATTCATTTTCTGTTATGAATAATTTAGACTTCTTGTTTGATTTTTTAGTTTTATTCTAATAGATAGTATAATTGTATACTAATTATAATTTTTTTTAAAAAAATAAATTTTTATTTTTGATTTTATTTCAATAAATAATACAATATAGTATGAATTTTAATTGTAAGATTAAAAATATTTGATATTCTATTTTTGATTGAAATTTGTGTGATCTAAGTATAATATTTTAAATTTGAGAGACCTAAGTATTATACATTTATAAATTTTAGAGGGTTTAAGTATAATTTATTACTAGATATACTAACGGGCATTGATGACAGAAGTCTAAGTGTTACGCGTGTACAAATTTCAAAGGGTTTGCGTGTAATAGTTAAAATGTCAGGAGGTCATTAAGCGACAAATTTTAAAGGTCCAATTGTAATCTCCTTTTTGTTTTTGAAATTTGATTTTCCTATAAGTACCACCCAATATTCAGTTTGAAAATTTGTCATTTCGCCTTTCTCAAACCTTCCTCTTTCTCCTTTCATGCTGAGTAGAGCCACCCCATCGTCATTACCAATCGCCTTCAAGAAACCCCACATACACTAGCGTTTCAAATGTAAGCAAAGAAGCCAAACCCACCTTCTTTTTCTTAACCTTAGTTGATTATTGATTATTAATCTCACTTGGGTTGTCGAAAAATTATTGATTTGGCTTTTGAGTCACCGGGAAATATTCAAGATCCATTGAATGTTCGCCAGAATATTTCATTTCCGGCACTTAGAACAAATGAGCCGTTACCTGCATAGTGCATACACACATTCACATGAAAAATTGATATTGATATGATAAATTTGTTGTTGTTTTATTGTTGGTATTTCAGTATTAAATTTGATAAAAATGCCGGAGCCAAGAGACCGATTATCGAGACCTAAAGACATTTCGGCGATGTTCAATCATCGAAGGAGGTCAATCGGCGGTGGCATCGGAATTATCGCTGATGAAGAAGAGATAGGCGTGGGAACTTTGTTTCGGTGGGGTGATACGGCGATGGCGGGGACACCTGGACAGATGGGAGTGGTGGCTATACGAGCAGGAGGTGGTGGTGGGAGGGTTAGTTTGGGGACTCCAAGAATGGGAGGAAATGGGCGTGCCCAACATTTATATAGATCGTTGACAGCGGTAGTGGGTTAGCAAAACATGATGGCAATTGGAAGTGATCGGCAACTCCGAGGCCGAGGACTAGGACGAGGACGAGGACGAGGATGAGGACGAGGGAAGAGTAGTAGTGTGTTACCTTTTTGGTACCCTAGAGCGCCTCTGCGCGACATCACCACTTTTGTGAGGGTAATGGTTCTTCAACTTTTCTTGATCTCTTGCACTGTTGTGGTTTGATTTGGTTTGTCGGGTTTGATTTACTGTGCTTATATACAAATACTCGTATTTTGTAGCTTTGAAATGGTATCAAAGTACATCTATGTTCCAATTTTAGTTGGGTATTATTTATTTTCTCCTCCGTAGTTTATTTGCTAACCTTGGTCTATTGCTCAGGTTCCTGTTAATGAAAAACATAGTACTTTAGTGGGATTGCAAGGATTTGTGATAGAATTAGGTTTGTGGTGGGACTCTAGGTGGCTCTACAGCCCCCAGGCTGACACGTGGAATGATGAAGCCGTTGGGATGTCCAAAGGGCGCCGAGGAGGTAAGCCGAGGTATGGTGACACGGAGTAGCCGAGTACGATAGCTGACATCGTATTTAATGTGATGTGACCCCTCATTTTATGGCAAAATGAGTGATAGTGACAAGACAAATAAATGCGCGCTTACAAGCACCTGCTCTCTAGGAGTCTAGGCCTACTGTCATGATGACTAAGCATTAATGACTGATACGTCGAGATAACGCAATCGGTTCCCCCCGAGGAACTGTTCTCCCGAGTATTCAATGCTCAGTTGATGTCAGATGCCGATCTGGAGAATTTGGGTACTCGGGGAGGGGCATAAATGCTCGACATTTGGCCGAGCATTTATTCCATCTTCCTAACATTTAATAGGAGGAGACTTGAGTAGAAAACACTCATTGCACGAGGAATGATATGTCAGATGTAAGATATCCAGATAGGACTGGAGATCTTTGACAATCATTGTTAATTCAGGTATAAATACTCCTCAGAAAAATGTACAAAGGTACGCAAACTTGAACCAGAAAAAGATTGTCTATTAAGCTAAACCCTTCAACCTTAGACTGACTTAAGCTTCAGAGGGGATAAGCCGGGTGTTCACCTGACCCCCTTTTTTTGACTCTGTTGTTCTAGGTTCGCCAGCTTATAGATCGCTATCTCAAATTATTACAGGAACTATCCCATGCAATTTGGTGCCGTCTGTGGGAAACAATAACATCTTTCCCGGTAGCGATCGTTTGATGGTGAACACTCGACCTCAGGATGAAGGAACAAGTGTGCGTGTAAGGAACGTAGAGCCCGTCCGACTTTCAATGGTACTAGAATCGGGTCCGTTGGGCCAATTAGGTGGAGGGGAACATTCCTCACAACGAACGCTCCCTATAGATCAGGGCCTTGGGGGGCATGACCTCATGGCCCATGATATCGTAGAAATGGTGGAAAAGCGGATGGACAAATGCATTAAGCAGCTTGAGAAGGTGAACGCCAAGGGCCAGCGACGACTCGACAATTTTGAGCAGTCAGCAAGCGTGGGCGGACATAGTCGTAGGCTCGGGGACCAGATCCCCAGCCAAAACCTTTCCAGGCGTCCTTGGCATAGACCCTCCAGGAAAGGCTGACTTAGACGCTCACCTGAGGGACATAATTGCCAAGGTGGGTTCTCGGCCTCCAAGGGAAATTCAGAATCAAGCCAACAGGCGAGTCTGTCTCGGTGGGACTTTCGTCGAGGAATACCTGAGGACATCGGAGCCGCCGAATCACAGGAAGAGTCTACACCCAAGAGACCTAGAGAAGAAAGGCCAAGAGGGGATCCTAGGGTCCACCCCGCCGCTTATCGCAACCCTGAGCTCGAGGTTTATGCCGACGAAGTCATGTCACCTTTCATTCGAACTATCAGGGAGGCCAAAATGCCAAAGAAGTTTACTATCCCACGGTTCAAAATCTACAATGGGAAGACCGATCTTGAGAGTCACTTGTGGTAATACAAACAATTGATGTCAATCTATGATACTGATCAAAGGGTGTTGTGTTGAGTTTTTCCCATGAGCTTAGGGTACACAGGCATGAGATGGTATGAGAACCTGGCTCTTGAGAGCGTCAGGTCCTGGAAATAATTGATGGAGCTCTTCATAGCTTGATTTATCACCAGGAGTAAGAAATTGAAGGACATCGACGCTCTGTTGACGCTTAGGCAGAAAAGAGGAGAAACACTTCAACAATATGTCGTCCGGTATTGGGATGAGGTCAACGAGGTGGAGGTGTGTTTGGAGGCATTGGCCACGACGTCGTTCAGGCTGGGGCTGTCCTGGGACATTGATTTGTATAAATCGCTGACTAAGAAGGCTCTGACGGACATAAAAGACTTGATGACTCGGATTAACAAATATGCCTGAGTGAAGGAAGAATCCAACACACCTGATAGTAGGGTTTTAGTGCCGAGAAAAAGAGAGAGGGAGCAGCCGACCTGAAGGGGAGGGCCTGTTTCACCCCCTACTCGCCTGTCCTTCTAGGGGGTGAACACGGTCTTTAAGGAACCCATTTATAGGATGCTTCTCAAGATTAAAAATAAACCTTACTTCAACTGGCCCTCGAGGATGATAGGAGACCCATCGACAAGGAATGAGGCCTTCTGTTGTTCGTATCATAGAGATGTAGGTCATTTGACAAAGGATTGTAAGGTTTATAAATCCTTCCTCGAACAATTGGTGCAAGACAGACACCTTGGGGAGTTCATCGATAGGGTCATCCCGGCAGATCGGGGGAGGGAGTGCCCTAAGGTGTCAACTGAGGTAGCGCCCGTGATTGATGTTATTCATGCCTACACAGTGGAGAGGCCTACGTATAACTCCCTTAGCGCCGAGTTACAGAGTGTCTCTCAAGCAGTCAGGGTGGAAGAAAGGGGTGAGGAGCGGCAACCTAAGAAGCCGCGAAGCGGTGTCGAGGTTATCTAATTTTTTGATGCTGACCTCGACGGGATGATCCTTCTCCACGAGGATGCATTGGTGAACACTTTGCGGGTCGGAAAGTTCGACGTCAAAAGGATCTTGGTAGACTCAGGCAATTCTTCCGAGGTGATGTATGATCACCTCTTCTGCAAAATGGGATTCTCGCAGGGGGATCTGGAACTAGTAAAGACCCCCCTCATCGGCTTCAATGGTTCTAGCGCCCTGCCTTTTGGAAAAATCACCCTCATGGTATGTGCAGGGGTGGTGACCATGCCAGTAGAGTTTGTGGTAGTGGACTCCGACTCCTCGTACAATGTTATTATGGGGAGATCGTGGTTGCATGCGATAAAGGCGGTCCACTCGTCCTATCACCAGAAGATAAAGTTCCCAACACCGCAGGGCACAATGGAAATTTGGGGTGATCAGGCATCGACGGAAAGTTATTTCTATGCCACGGTGAAAACTGGAGTTAGCGGCCAAAGTCAGGAATGTGATCCTGATACAGTGGTTGCCAAATAGTAATCACAAAGCGGTCGGCCAGGAGTGGATGAGTCCATTACAGAACCAGCCGACCGATCTACCGAGGCCTTGGTTAAGATTCTCCTGAGCCCAAATAACGATGAGGAGTACTTTTGCTAAGAGTGTCACTCAACAACGCAGAGAGAAATGATATGGCCTCATTCCTACGCTGCAATGCTGATGTCTTTGCATGGACCCAGGCCGAAATGACGGGGATAAGTGCCGAGGTGATGACTCATCGGCTTCATGTGAATCCCTCATTCAAACCCATTAGGCAGAAGGCCCGAAGAACAGTGCCTCATCACGCGAAGGCTATGGATGAAAATGTGGATAAGTTGTTGGGGCAGGTTCTATCAAGGAGGTACAGTTCCCCCAGTGGTTATCCAATACAGTGTGCGCCAAGAAGAAAGAAGGAAAATGACGAGTTTGCGTGGATTTCACGGACCTTAACAAAGCCTGCCCCAAGGACGAGTACCCCTTGCCCAAGGTTGATCAGTTGGTAGACGCCACAACCAACCATAAATGAATCACTTTTATAGATGCTCAAGTTGGATATCACTAGATTCCCTTACATGAATCAGATCAGGAGAAAACAACGTTCATTACGCCCTGGGGGATTTACTGTTACACATTGATGCTTTTTGGGTTGAGGAATGCTGGGGCGACTTACCAACGTTTGATGAATAAAATTTTTAAAGACCAGATTGGCGAAATGATGGAGGTGTACAATGATGACATGTTGGTCAAAAGCAAAGAGAGTGCCGACTATCCCTATGATCTCGAGACGATATTCGCCATCCTCCGGAAGTATGACCTAAAACTAAACCCCTCGAAATGTGCTTTTGGAGTGAGTTTAGGAAAATTTTTGGGGTATTTGGTTACTCACCGGGGTATTGAGGTGAACCCTGAGCGGATACAAGCAATCCGGAATGTCCGGGCGCCTAGGACCATTAAGGATATTCAGAAATTGGCTAGAATGTTGGTAGCTCTTAACCGATTTATTTCCAAGTCGTCCGATAAGTGCAAACCATTTTTTGCCAAGTTGAGGGGGCGGCTAAGAGGGTATGGGACGAGGAATATGGTCGAGCTCTTGAGGGGATCAAGGAGTACTTGAAACATCCTCCAACTTTATCTGTCCCGACAACAGGGGAAGTGCTTAGCCTTTACTTATCCGTATCTCAAGACGTTGTGAGTGGAGCACTGATCAGAGATAGCGAAGGGGCCCAAAGACCTGTGTATTTCATAAGCAAGACTTTGCTCGACACCGAGATAAGGTACTCTCCAATGGAGAAATTGGTCTTGGCATTGATGTCCTTACAGACCGCCCTCTCAAGCCGATCCTTCACAGGGCCGACATGTCCGAGAGGGTTGTCGAATGGGCAGTAGAGCTTGGGGAGTTTGAGATCAGGTACAAGCCTCGTACTTCAATAAAGGACAAGCCCTGGCAGACTTTATCGTCGAGTTCTCTGCGTCCGAGCCCTCACCAACGTCACAGGATCTAACAGGGGATGTTTGGGATCTTCATGTTGATGGATCCTCGAACGCAAGGGGG